TTTTACATAAATGCTGTTCTTTCTATTCATCAAAAAATCTGGAAAAACTATGATTCATGGTTTCCACAAACATATTAAGCAGCATGACGGTTTTCAATATTGATAATAAGAACTGTTGTGCATCAAATCATCAAATTAGAATGATTTCAGAAGGGACATGTGACACTGAAGGAGTAATGATGCTGAAAATTCAGCTTTGCATCACAGGAATAAATTACATTTTATTGTAATTACATTTGATTAAAATTACGTTTTAAAATATTTCCAAATATTAACAGTTATTTTAAATTGTAATAATATTCCTCAATATTGCCATTTTTATTGTATTTTTAAGACAAAAGAAAAAAAATCCACCAGAAACTCTTGCTTTAGCATTATATTTTGATCAAATGATTAAAATATGATTGGCTCCCGACCTGTTTCTTCTTCTTCTTCTTCTTCTTCTTTTGCATCTCATTGGTTTTCTCAACTTTTTGATGCTCTCTCTGCTTGCTTCGCTCCACTGTCAATCCCCCGCATGAGCCTGTCGCTCAGCTCCCATAGAGAATGAATTGTAAATGCCCACTCATCTCAGCACCAGTGGGCACATACAGTAACTTTGCAACCCCTCACCACAAACCATCTGGCTTCATTCTGGTATGTGACCAGTTTACAAAATCCAATAAATTTCTGATAAATAAAAGCAAGTCCTTCCCTATGGTTTTTGTGCCTCGCAGTATGTTTCACTTGGAAATATGTCACATTGCAGAAGTAAAATGGCTTGTGAATGGTAAGGTTGTGTGCCATTCAGAAGTGAAACAGAAACTCATGTAAGTGTAATTTTTAACTAGAGAAGCAGAGTTTGCCGAAACAGCCATGGAATGCTGGCTTGACACATTTTTGTTTGAAAGTTTTCAAAGATGCTTAAAAAGCCTTTGAAGTTTGAAGGTTTATGGGCCTGATAGACAGAGAGATAGATAGATAGATGGATAGATGGATAGATAGATGGTTGGATGGATGGATGGATGGATGGATGGATAGATGGAGAACAAATTTTGCAAAACTGATGAATTCTCATTACTGAGAAGATGCTCTGTGTCCTTCTGCTCAGAGAGTGTCTAGACCGCCCAGCCAGCATCAAAGCACAAGAATGGGCCTTCAGGATAAAGATTGTGCGAATGAAGAAGATGAGGGGGATGAAGGTGGAGGTATCCATCCAGGTGATGGACAGCAGCAGGAGGAAGAGTGTGTCATCTGTGACGAAGATTTTGACACAGACCTGGAACTCGACAGATTTCACAGTGAGAGTTCTTATTAAAAGTGAAAGTGTGAATATGAGCGGACAGAGAGAGAAAGAGTGGGCCGACGGGGGGACGTGGGTGAGGCACGTTCTGATAGAGGGTGTCAAAGAGCTAAGGGGCACAGAATATGATGTTGCCACTCAACGGAGAATAAAACGGGCAAACGGCCGTGAGTCATGCTTGTAATTTCAGACAGGTCTCTCTCTCTCTCTCTCTCTCTCTCTCGCTCTAATTTTTCACCTGCTTGTTCTGCAGATACCGAAACACCTACACACTCCTTTACATATACATAAATCACGGCTCCATCCATCTCTCACTATCTCTCTGATGGCTGTTTATTCAGCTTATTAGAGATAGCCATCTGCTAGATTACTGCTGTGTGCCTCCGCATAGCTTAATGAATGACTTGGGAATTTTCCACATTCATGATAATTGCGCATCTCAATGAGAAACAATGATACATTGTTGTCGTATTTGGTTTACAAAGTCACACCAGTTCATCTCTTTTGTGCTGTTAGGTTGCACGTGTGAGTACGGCACATTGGTTATTCATCGATTAACTGTGCTTGCTAAGGAAAGTATCACTATTGTTTTTGCTCATAAGTCAGAATGATAATAGTAAACCTCTAACCTTATTTTTTTAATTTTAGTGCGTAACTTGTCCCGCGCCGTTTGTACAACATCAATGATACCTCAAATGCCTTGAGATGTTTTATTGTTTTTCTAAGCAGTTATTCTTTATGTTTTTGTTCTATGTTGTGAATTTTTTGTTTATTATTATTATTATTATTATTATTGTTATTAGTAGTAGCAGTAGTAGTACTATTCTTAGTTTTATTATTATTAGTGTTATTAGTATTATTAGTAGTATTTGTAGTAGTCGTAGTAGTATTGTATACTGTACCTATTATATTGTATTTATCTTTCTTGTGTAGGAGAACTTTAGTACGAGAAAAGTGCATTATAAATGAAATGTATTATTATTATATATTATTCTTCTTCAGATGGACAGTAAATTAACAAAAAAAAAGTTTTGAGTGAAAGGGCTGTCTGGACCCTTTGACTCTTGCCAAACTTTGACTCTTACTTGGGCTAAGTAACTACCTAAAACACTCAACAAAATAAAAACCTAGCAACCACATCGCAATGTATTCTGAGAGGTATTTTGATCTGTTCTAGATGAAAGACGAGCATATGACCCTACAGGACAGTCCAGCTACAGAGAGGCGTGTAAGATGCTAAATGTAATTCCAGTTTCCTACTTCCTCCGAAATATGAACCAGAGTGAACTCAACATGATGCATTATGGGCTGGGCTCACAGGTAAGAACAAAGAAACTGATTTAGGGGGCGTTTACACAACACAGTTTTCTTTGGCCGTTCATTTACAGTACACAACAACAGCGATTTGAAAACAGGTTTCATAGTGCAAGTTTTTGAAAGTGATACAGTTATCGTCTCCATGTCAAGTCAAGTCACCTTTATTTATATAGCGCTTTATACAATACAAGATTGTGCCAAAGCAGCTTTACAGTGTCCAACAGGAAAGTGCTGATAATGCAAAAGGACAATAGAAAACATTCAGTTTTTCCATGTAAACTCTGAAAATGCTAATTTGTGAAAACGGATACATCACGTGCATGTGTATTACGTCTTCAGTCTATAGGTAGTGTTAGTGTCTGTGCACAGATGCATAGTATAAGCACCAACTACTGGCCTGGCATGCATAATTCAGTGTTTTCCGTCGTTTTCACGGATCTGTGTGAACAGGGATTGTTTTGACTGACAACATTGTAGTTTGTATGTGTACCCTTGATTTATGCATCTGTATCTATCTGTATTTATGTTCTACTGTTAGTGTTATCTGTATGCACCAAGGGTCTGAGAGTAACGCAATTTCAATTCTCTGTGTGTATGTGCTGTACATGTGGAAGAATTGACAATAAAGCAGACTTGACTTGACTTGACTTGATGTCAGACTTTAAAAGAGAGATAAATTAATACAATAAATTGCAAAAGTGCCCATTCTCTTTTCAGCGGACTTGATTTTAGATGTATTTTTTCCCACTCATTTTTACCACAGAGATTTTTAAAAAGTCTTCGGTAAAGAATTAGAAGACATGAACTAAACCAACAAGCCATGATAAAGCAATAAGCCCCAAGAAGCCGTGGTTTACAGTAAATTTATAACAGTTATTTATAGCTGTTATAAATTCACTGTAAACCACGGCTTCACGGGGCTTATTGCTTTTATAAAACTGTTATTCCATATACGTAGTACGGTTTCACAAAATAAAACAGAGCAAATAAAGTGTAATGATATAAATAAAAACAGTATTCGTCCACCAAACAATGTTGTTCCTCAGAATCAGTTGCGGTTGCAACAAAGTGTTTGCAAGGAACTCGCAAATGTAAACAAAGGTGTATGTTTGTAGAGTAATTTACAACAGCTTGGAACGTGGCTCAGCCAATCAGAATCAAGGACCGGAGATATCCGTTTTATAAGGTGAATCAAAGAATTCCAAACTTTGATTTGAAGTAAAAAAGTATTTGAAATTGGACAAAGGCACAAGACTCTGTACTTAACAGCTTTAATAAGAGAAAGAACTACAATTCCATGAAGCACTGCGAATGACAATCAAATTTAAAAAAATAAATTATTGATTTAAAGATGATGATTACTACATTTACATTTATTCATTTAGTTTTTACCCAACGCGACTTACAATTGATGATAGAATGACTATAGAAACAATATATTTTATATTTAGTGCAAAATATGCACATATACAGTACATAAATGTAAGTAGTTTGAGAGACTTTATTACGTCGTTCGTAGTGTTTAATGGGCACTAAAGAGTTTTTCTGGTACGATTCTGGTGGAGGTTTCATTGCAGAATCATGGGTAATGTAAATTTTCACCAAGAATTACACGGTTAAACATGAATTATTTAATAATAAGTTGAAATAATATGGACTGATGGCTACAACAAAAGCATACCATCAGTTAACAACCTTATAGATCACAGTAGGTCTGTCTTTAAAGGTTATTGTTCAAAATCAATTCCCCTATAGGGAAAAAGTGTTTACTTCCAGAGACTGTTGCATTCTATATGGGTAACAAAACAATGATAAACATTTTGAAAACTTTCTTCTTTAGGGTACCAAAGCTCTGGCGATTTCCATGGTAACCAATACCTCCATCCTGAAGCTGAATCTGCAAGATAATTGGATGGAGGGAGTGGGCGGGGCTGCCATTGCTGACATGCTCAAAGAGAATTGCTACATCACAGGTGACTTTCTGCAGTCCCGCACATAACATCACAGCACTGCCTTGTTTTCTCTTGGACTTTTATTTGGGATTCACTAGTAGTGTGAACTTCAAGTCTGTTTGATCTCATCTTGTCATGTTTTTTATAGAGGAACATGGGGGCTGGACAAGTCTGGAACTTTTAAAACCCAGTACCTTCCGAGGTGTTTTGTATGTTGGCATAACAAATTCCCGTTATGGATTTCCAAACAGGCCCGAATTTCCATAGACATCCCTGATAGCACACATACATCTCGGAGACGTCTATTTGATGTCTGCATTTACATCTGCAAGACATATTTTTTAGAGTGTTTTCTCATCTGCAATACGTCTATAGGACGTTTCCTTTTAGATGTCAAATAGACGTCTATTAGATGTCTTTAAGATGTTTATGATATAGAATGTATGTAAAACTGACATCTGAAAGACGTCTGTCAGACGTTTGTAGACAGCAGATGCTTTCCAGATCAAGAGACCTTTAACAGACATATTGCAGACGTACTTGTGCTATCTGGGATATGGATTGAAAACGTTTATACGATGTTAAATCATGCTAAAAACATCCTAGTAACATGTTAAAATACTAACAGTGTGTTAAAACATGTTAGAAGCATGCTAACAACTTGTTAAATTATGCTAGCAACAAGCTAAAATGTGATAGTAATGTGTTAAATCCTGCTAGAAACATGCTAGCAACTTGTAAAATTATGGTAGCAACATGTTAAAAGATGATAGCAATGCATTAAATTGTGCTAGAAACTATGCTAGCAACATTAAAAATATGAAAAATGTTAGAAACACGCTAAAAGATATGTTAGCAACATGTGAAAACATGCTAACAATGTGCTAAATCATTACAGAAACATGCTAGCAACATGTCAAAATACTAACAATGTGTTAAAACATGTTAGAAACATTCTAACAACTTGTAAAATTATGCTAGCAACGTGTTAAAAGATGATAGCAATGCATTAAATTATGCTAGAAACTATGCTAGCAACATTAAAAATATGAAAAATGTTAGAAACATGCTAAAAGATATGTTAGCAACATGTTAAAAAAATGCTAACAATGTGCTAAATCATTCCAGAAACATAGCAACATGTAAAAATACTAACAATGTGTTAAAACATGTTAGAAACATTCTAACATATTGCTAAATTATGCTACCAACATGCTAAAATATGCTAGTAATGTGTTAAATCATGCTAGAAACATGCTATCGACTCCTCATATCATGCTAAAAACATACTAGAAACTCATTAAATTATGCTAGTAATATGCTAGCAATGTGTTAAAAGATGATAGCAATGCATTAAATTATGCTAGAAACTATGCTAGCAACATTAAAAATATAAAAAATGTTAGAAACATGCTAAAAGATGTTAGCAACATGTGAAAACATGCTAACAATGTGCTAAATCATTCCAGAAACAGAGCAACATGTAAAAATACTAACAATGTGTTAAAGCATGTTAGAAACATTCTAACATATTGCTACAATATGCTAGTAATGTGTTAAATCATGCTAGAAACATGCTATCAACTCATCATATCATGCTAAAAACATACTAGAAACTCGTTAAATTATGCTAGTAATATGCTAGCAACATGCTAAAAGATGTAAAGTGTTATGCTAGCAATGTGCTACATCATGTTATCAACATGCTAAATCATGCTAGCAACATGCTAGCACGTGACAGTCAAGTCACCTTTATTTATATAGCACTTTATACAGATTGATTCAAAGCAGCTTTACAGGGGGAAAAAACAGGAAAAAAATTATTCAAAGATCAATTCAGCTGTAAAGCATTTTTAAAAAAAAAAAAAAAAACAATAGTGCCATTCCGCTGGGGTCAGTTCAATGTTGATTAGGGTGACCATACATGCCATTTTCCCAGGACGCCTAGATATTTTATATAGAAATATAGATAATCTAGATATAGAAATCCTGGCCAGGACATGTCCTGGGAAAATGGCACTTATGGTCACCCTAGTGTTGATTCAGTTCAGTTCAATGACTGTGTATAGATCATCAAATATGAAATGAAATACAGTCAATTCAATATTGCTGAATATTAAGTGTCCACAACTAAGCAAGCCAGAGGCGGCACCCAAACTCCATCGGTGACAGAATGGAGGGGGAAAAAACCTTGGGAGAAACCAGGCTCAGTGGGGGGCCAGTTCGCCAGACGAACCAACACGGTGTGTTTAATTCCAGGCTGCATCACAAATCAGATTGTATTGTTATCATTCAGCGTATTCATCCAGTTCCTTCTGCTTGAAGATTAGGATACATCACATGGTGACGCCAGCAATGTGTTAACTCATGCCATTTTATTGACTTTATCTGACTTCTCTGGGTAAAAACATACAATGGAGTTCAAATGTCTAGAGACTGCTGATGAAAATGTAATATATGCTATCCAATTCAAAACAACATAGGCTACAGTACAACTGTTTCATAAGTAATGTCAAGTTATTAAACAGATATTGTAGCCATCATTCACTGTGCATTTCAAAATTTTTATGATCGTGCTGTTGATTTTGTAGCAATCCCTCAAGATATTAGCCTAACTGTAAAACCTATTTTCTTTCCCAGAAATTGATTTGTCTGAAAACCGGGTGGGTGAATACGGAGCCAGGGCTCTGTCCAGCATGCTGTTGGAAAACTCTACCCTATTCTCTCTCAACCTCTCCGGGAACCATCTGGACGAGCGAGCAGCCAGACACCTGTCCCCAGCTCTGATCGGCAACCAGAAACTTCAGCACCTCGACCTGAGTCACAACAGATTCGGAGATATAGCAGGTGTGAGATGATGTGAAAGCTGCTGGTGAAAGGTTCACTGCTTGATTACTGCAGACCTCCAAATAACTTTGTTTTTAGAGGGACATTTAGTGGTTTCGGGGCATTTGGCTGCCACATGTTGAATGGTTATGTGTAACGATTGGACTGGAAGACTACAATTTCATGGCTACTTAGTAGGACAAGTACTAGGAAAAAACAGCTTGAGATTTGACCTAACACATGCATAACGAAAAGAACATTAACTTTCACTGAAGTACTGCACAATGGGAATGAAATTAAAGTCTGTTTCACTTACTTTGAGCAGTTCATTATACTGATGATTTTACAGCACTACAGAGTATAATAAAAATGTCTAGACACAAATTTGGATAATTTAGTTTCAGTTCACCAAGCAAAAGATAAGTTGCCCAGTGCAGTGACTCTCAGTACTTAGACAGGAACCATTGGAGAGTTTCACTGCTTTATTAAAGCTATGGAACTTTAAAAATAACAGGGCAAAATGTGATGTTTTTTAATGAAGGAAAAAATATGAATATGCAGCTAATCTCATTAATTCAATTCACTTTTGAATTATATGCAACTGATTCTTTATTGATTTATTTTTAGAGGAATTTTATTTTTAAGCGAAGTGGGAAAGCGAGAGAGGACAGGTTCAGCAAAGGTCCACGAGTCGAGACTCGAACTCGGGACACCCGAAGTGCAAAGATGCTACATGGCGCGCCGCCCGGCGCCATTGACGAACAAATTCACATTCGCCCCTGTCACCGATCTTTATGTTGTTGCAAAAAAACACTGACAAAACACAATCCACTGTGATTCTATTTGAGTAGAATATATAGTATGATATATAGTAGCTGTCACGAATCCGGTCCGTGGTCTTCCGTCTGCTCGCCACCAGAGGTCGCCTTCTGATTACATTGACTCTCACACCACACAAACTGTTGCACATCACCCTGGACTACATTTTCCATGCTCCATTGCACTGATTGGATTCACCTGCAGCCAATCACACACACATTATATAACAACTACTCAAATTCTTCTCTAATGGCCCAGTATTGTTTGTGTATATCACTCTCCTAGTGGTAACACATTACGGAGCCAGGTTTCTGTCCTAGTTTCTAGTCCTTAGTTCCTAGTCATAGTCTTGTCTTGCCCGCTTTCCCGTGTTACCTGATTCTTGCCTGTTTATCTTGGATTAGCCCTTTGCCTTTCTGTTTAGGACTGTGTTTGCACCTCGCCTGGACTATTGCTCGTGTTATTGGATTTCCCCTCTTGTCAAGCCCTCTGGATAGCGTTTGCTGTCGACTGACTCATGCCCGTTTTGGATTACTCTTTTGTGTTGCCCTCAATATACCTGTTTGCCATTGTCAGAACCTTGCCTGTTTTATGACCACGCCTTTAAATAAAAGCTTTGCAGATGGATCCGCACGTATCAGTCATCCCGTAACAGTAGCCTAGTGGTAATGTAATCACGCTAGAGAACTGAGAAGACGTTAAACGACAGAATGTCTGCCTTTTTTTTTTTTGGCCAGAGAAAATCGTCAAATATCGCCAAAATAGCTCCTTGTCGCAAAACAATAATAAAGTCACAGCAACAATGAGAAAGTCGCTAAATTTGGTGACAAAATGACGAAATTGGCAATACTGTCCATTTCCGAGTCTTTGCTAAATTAATAATTTTTTTAAACAAATCGATTAAATGCATGATTCCGTGGCTTAGTTTCGTTTCGTTTCGTTCCTGAATAAATCATTGTTTGAACGATTGGCTGACTGAACGATTCAGTGGCTCGCTCATAAAAACAGTCAGATGTCGCCATCTGCTGGCGGAACTGTATGTGACGTGCAGAAAGAGATACTGGAAAATCCCAGATTCTGATAGTCTGTCTGAAATGCATAAATACACACAAAACAGTTGAAAAGTCTGCCGCTTAGTTAAACACTCAAAGACTGGAACTGTTGTTTAATATCCAGTATAAGTTAATATGAACATATTTATTTTTCTGGTGTCAATGAAAAGTTGATTGAGGTGTGTTGATGAGGCTATGTGGGTACACAAATATTGGTCTAGTGTAGTATGTCTAATGAGAGGTGATGAATTTGCTTTTAAACAAATCTTTATCTACAATGTTATTTTTAATATTTTGATAAATGGATGTCATGTCAGTGGTGAAACCTGCTGATAAAAACCTTCAAATCCGCTGTTTTCAAACACATCTGGCTCACTAGATTATTCATATCTTTCTGTGGGAATGTATGGAAATGCAATTTTCCAAAATAATGTTGTTTTTTAATAGCTAAGTGCTCTCTTCTTAACTGCAATGCAAATTGGAAATGATATTCAGCTACAACACAAGCACAATATCTTCATATCCAGAGGGCTGGATCTCAAATGATCAGTAACTCCAGTATGATGATGAGGGATATAGAGTACAGTCCTAAAGCCCCATAGCTGTCAGCATGAATGACAGAGTGTGAAGATAGGGAAATTGCCTCAATAAAATATTGCATATAGTAATCAAGAGGAATTGACCTCCTCCATGACCTGCCATGATTCATACATCCTTAACAGATTCCACTGGCACATCTCTGTTCATATTACATATGGTTGATGGCTTTCTTTTTATAATCATACACTGCTTGCTTATTCTTGGCAGGCTACCCTGGTGACCATTGTAAATGTGGTCAATAAGGCCTG